AGATCATGTCGCTCGATATGAAGTCCTTTCGATGGTTCCAGGGCCTTCCAGCAATGGTTCAAGGGCTCTTCTTGCTTGGGGGGCCGGGGTTTGACAAGCCAAAGGAGCAGCCTGGAAATCGGCTGATTGCCCGTTCAGGCCATCCTTTGTGCCTGTGACGCGATCATGGATGGAGGCCGGGTGGAGGTGGCAAAATTGCCAGTTGTCTTGGTTGGCATGGGGCATGGCTGAACACGGAAGTGAGGGACCTGGGATCCTGTTCTGGAATCCGAGGTGTGAGGTGTTGTCTTTGAATCCCATTTTGATTGAAAGATACAGGAATCATACTGCAAGCAAACAGACTTGCTTACGGCTAGCAATGAACAAAACTGGTGCTGCATAAGCTAGCATTCACATAGCCTTGTGGGGTTCAATGGTTAATTGAAAGCATGGATGGCTAGTAAAGATGTATAAAGATGTGACACATCTGTTTTCGCAGTCAAGGCTTTGTGCTGCGGGAGGTGCAGCTGGGAGGCGTGCCCTGCGGAGTCGTGGGACCCCTTCGAGTGCGAAGGAATATCATGGCTCAATCAGGGGGCGAAACTGGTGAAACTGGAGGTTCTGGGTGAATTGGATCGTGGAAGCCCATTTTTCCTTCCCAAATTAGATCCTGGCAGTCAATCCCTTGAGAACCAGCAGGGAAACAAAAGTCTGGGGGGAATGGAGAAATGAGCAAGAATTATGAGAGTCATCGGTGCTCAGTCCTCCAACTGTGTGACTTGGGTGGACAAACCAACATATACTGTACCTGACAGTTCATTGACATTGGAAGTGGCAAATCAAAACCGAGACGGTCTGTCGACACGGAAAGAACGGTGCGGGCTCGTTTGGCCCGGTTTTCACATGGTTTGGCTCGTTTGGCCCGTTTGATCTATGTCTTCTGCGACCTCGTTTGGCCCAGATGATGAAGAGAAGGCTGAGCCTAGGGAGGAGACCGGTCCGATGGAGCGGAGGAGGTGTTGGGCCACGTGTTGGGCTTTGCTTTTCGTTTCTTTGGCGTAAGCTGGTTCTGATTCCAGGCCGGCCTATGCCATCCCATGATACATCTCAATGCTTCTCCATGCAGGTGAAGACTGCGAGAAGCATGATGATCATGAGGAACATGAGCGCTTCTTCAGAGTTTTCGGGGGTTTTCTTGTTTTCTTCAGAGCCCCCAAAGGATTTGGGCATGTGACTCTCTGCATCCTATGTCCACCGATGGCCCTTCAGAGTCACGCCAACGTCAAACGCCGGATCACCACTTACATGAGGACGACCGCTGAGACCCTTCAGTGAGAGAACCCCGTTGGCATCCAGGCTCCAAACACCCAGACCACAAACCGAAAACCCAAAGGCAGCGGCTCTCCTCCTGCGTGGATCGAGCCCCTCCGTGCGCTTCGCGCCCCCGACGCGAGGATGGGCAAGTCTTCGAGTTTGAGCATTTCCACCAGTTGCAGAATGGGCAGACCTACGCCATTGAGGTGCATGCATGAAGAACAATGGAGGTCGCTGCCGTAAGTTTTTTCAAGAAGCCAATCGGTGCTACAAGGTTCATTGGGAGAGGTCGGCTGAGCCGATGATCTGGTCATGGAGCCCTGTCCTTGCCATTTCACGGGGGGGGATTTCGCCTACCCTCATGTCAACCTGAGTGTTTGACGCCGGAGGGATCAGGGGATCTTGAGTAGACACTGGTCGGCTCATGGTGGGCTGAACAATGCTTTCCTGAAGCCACCAACATCCAGGCGGTGTCCAAGTTGACACCGGTGCCTTCGTTGAATGGTCCACATCTCCACACCTCTGACCTCTCCACCTCGACGTCGCCACCGGGTTTTCCTTCCCCACAGGCTGCCGGGGAGCGGGAAGACCTGAAAAAGATCACAGGCAGACGGCAGGAAGCGAGTTCGCCGCAACGCGAAAGTGTTTTGTTTTGACCTTGATAGATTGGCCTTGATAGATTGGCCTATGCGGTTCATCAACTCTCACGAAAACCACGAATTGCGGTTCCCTGCGAGTTTCTCAAACCAAGGGGTATATCGCCAAGTTGATTCCACTTGAACTTCAGATATGAGCCACCCCCCCAAAACATAGCGTTAAGATGCGTTAAGGCTTTATACATAAAATGGTTCATTTTTATGCATTTTTGGTGAGATCTTGGACATTCCTTGGAAAACGGAGCCGGAAAACCAAAAACGAAGCCTCTTGGTGGGATGCTTGCATGTGTAATTATCCAGTACTGGGCTCATTGAAGATGGAGGGGTAGTGCACTTTGCTGTACTTCACATTGTAACAGCCACACTGAGGCTCTTCCGTGTCTAGTTGTAAAGGTCCAGTGGTAATCTAACTTACCTGGTGAACAAACAGAGCGTAGTAGCCTACCTGGTGCAATTCCTTGGAAAACGAAGCCGGACAACCAAAAACGAAGCCTCATTAGAAGCGTTCCAATGTTGGAACTTGAATTTTGAAGGTCCCTCATATGTCTATCTGGCCCCGGCCCCCAGTTTACCCCAGAAACAGAAGCACAGCACATTAAGGGCACATCGCGGCACGCCAGTCGTCCAGTTCTCTTTTTTGAGGCGCCAGATCAGATCGATCGTAGGTTGCGACATCTTCACCTTTGCTCCACTTCGCAACCTGCTCCATTCGGTTGCGTCATGCAAGGGTATTCCAACGTCCGCCCCGCAAACGAGCGCCCCGCCTGAGGCGATCGCTTCCGACGGCTCAAGGTGCAGATCGATCCCAAGCTCCACGTCGAGGCGGTCAAGGCGGGTTTTTTTCCGGAGGCCGAAGTCGGAGCGAGGAGGAGGGATGAGGAGGATAAGGAGGATGAAGACAGTCCAGGCTTTTGTTTTGAAAGGTATTCCGAGCTATTCTCAGGAATATTCGAAGAACTAAGTCCAAACATGGTGCGCTGTGGTCAAGAGAAGAGGCCTCACATACGGCAAGCATGGGCATGATCAAGGCCCACTTGGCCCCGCGGTCTCAGGCCATTGACCGCATGCGGCGTGGTGCCAACCTTCTGAAACTTGGCTCTTCAGCTGGGTCTGCATCCCAAGGTCCAGGGCCAGGCCCAGAGCTCTGTATAGAATGTTTGGTTTTGATACCACCCATTTTCATGCACGTCTTGTAAGATCCAAACCCAGCTGCTTGCGGTTCTAAGAACATCAGCTATAAGGGATTGAGATTTCAAAGATAGAAGCACAAACCTATTTGTGATATTCTCAATGACAGGGTTGAAAACAGCTTGCATTAGCTGATTCGATGAAGTGCAAAGGAAGCACACGCACTACGGCTTTCCTCATCTCCGGCAGTTCCAGGCGAGCGTACTTCTGGGGCAGGGGCAGGGGAGTGAAGTGTATCAAAGAAACAAGATATGTATGGCACAATCAATATCATTGGCCCCAAATTTTGGATGCAATATATCGTTTCTTATATACAGCAATTAATTGCATTCAACTTTTTCGCACATGTCTTCGGTTGGAAGCTATGTATTAGGTTGGAGGCCATCGCACAGATACTTTTCGATCTCTTTGGAAACGTCAGGCATAGACGGTACTCGCCCTCAGCCCCACACGAACCGCCAGTTGAGCGACGACACGAAGCGCCTCATCTGGTACTCCGGCGCGAAGAGGCCGCGGTGCGGTGCACCGCCTTGGGCAGCGAAAGGGATAGACCTCCTTGGCGCAGTGGTCACTTTGGCTTGTCTTCTTCATCAGATATTCCAATGTGCAGTAGAAGTGGCAATACTTTTTTGATTGTTGATGAAGTTTGCTTTTGCACGTTTCCCTTTGTTTCACCTTCCATGCTAGATTTGGGCTGCGTGGATAAAAGACACATAGAAGCCACGCGGCCCTGATGATTCGAGGCATATACAGTGTGTATGCATGCTGTATGCACCTTTGGCCGCCTGGCCATTGTTTGGATCCTACCCTTGTGATCATTTGTTGCTCAACACCTTGCACTCCGGATCGGAACTTTCTGGGTTTGGAAGGTCAAAGACTTGTCCTTCCAATCTCCGATCAACTCCAGAGCTGTCTCCGAACTGCAGACCTTTCCAGGAAAGAAGACTCCATGGTTAATTTGGACGAGGCATGCCCAGGACTGCGAGAGAGTCCCACTTGTAAACGCAGAGGGCCTTTTGAATATGCTTGTAGACGAGTTCTTTGATGCTTGGGCAGATACTCGATTTGTCATCATACATGTCCAAAGAGTTGATAGATGTCCACGTCCATGTTCAATGTTGCTGCTAAAAGGATGACCTTTCAGGATTGTTCATTCTTTTGCAGCGGGCCGCGGCAGTTCGCCAGGTAGTGGAGATTAAGCTGGGCCAACAGACGCCAGTCTTCCTGCACTATCGCAAGACCAGCTTGTTAGAGAGAGGGTTTTTTGATGATCGTTCTATAGATGGAGGGCTTGAAGTTGCTCAAACAGACACAGGTCGAAGAGTAGTCATTGACTGTCATTGACTCATGAAACAACAGATTCACTCATCAAATGTCATAGACTCTTCTTGAGGCACCCTTGAATATCTTGAATTGCTCGACAATTGGCATCAGGATGCATCAGGTACTAATATCATCATATATCATCATTATATGCTATAATTATCTTCACATCTAAAATCCCATTTGGAGTGTTGGTGCCCGACCCTTTGCTGCTGCACCTCCGACACTGGTCATTTCCAGCTATCGACTGGTGTCGGGGGATCCGAGTTGCCCAGCTTGGCCTACCGCTCATTGTTCCACGTTCCACGTTCATGGCGCCAAGATGAAGAAACAGGAGTGTTTTTTTGCAGCGACATGTGTGAACATGGTTCAACTGCCATGTCTTCAACTGCACATACATGTTGGTCTCGTTTTTTTTTACATTATGTCTTTTGTGTCTGCTATAAGATTCTACGGGACGTCCCTTTAAACCAAATCTTGGACCTTTCTGAATCGATCTAAGCAATCCGCAGAGCATCGTCCTGAGCGCCAGGCTTGCCGATGCTGGAGCACTTGTCCTTTTCGATCATCTATGGTCCCAAAGGTTCTGCTTTGGCCTCAGCCTTCGAGCGTGGACCGTTCCGGGAGTTGTCCTTATTTCATGAGTGAACCGGGAAAACATGAAAAGATATGAAAAGTGATTGAGGTGAGGGCTAGTACTCAAGATGCACCCAGAATATAGACTGTGCAATGCCTACTGGACCAGGAGACTTACTTCACAACTTCCATCTTTGGAGTTGTAGAGATGGCCTGATGTTCTCATCCCCGCGTCTATCGGAAGATCCCTAGAATCTCTGCGAAATCCTGCTGCACTGCTTGTATCATAGAGACCAACAAGTGGTGGCAAGACATGGGGTTCTTATGTGTCTGAGTTGGTGCAGCTTAGGGGAACAATGAAGTGCCTGTTAAGGAGATCCGTAGAACAAACAGAACAAATAGAAGCATCCCAGAGGCCGGCAATGTTTAGCCGCTTCGGAACATCACCTGCAGACTCAGTACTTCCAGTGTCTGTCGAGCGTGGTCTGCCGTTTTGCCAGAAAACCTTGGACCTCACCTGCAAAGACGAGTTCGAGTTCGACCACTGGGTCACAGGCAGACCTTGAGTACGAGTCGGGGCGGCCGGCACACGACCTCGGGGCACGAGAGGTCGGAGGGCCGACATCGGCACGTAATGGTGCAGGTGCCAGAGAAAGGATCCAGGAACATTGCATTTAAGGTGATTTAAGGTGTATTATACCTGTACTTTTCATAATTTGTTTCAAGTATATGATTGAATTGGACAAGCGCCACTCTTGGCACTGGATTGCGAGTCCATGTGGCAGCATAGGCGTAGTCTTGACAAGGGCTGTTTACTACCATTTCTTCGCGTGGCGTGGGCCAGCATGCTCAGGGCTCAAGGCCATCTTCTACTCCTCCAAGGCAAGGGCATTCTGCAGCCATCTACTGTATATGAATTAGATAGATCGAATACGGAGCATCGTTTCGCAAAAGTAGAAAGATTATCCTGCTGATTTTGACTTCAAACCGACCTGCACCGATGACATTTCAAACCGACCTCTGCGGATGCAATGCTATGTTCGTTTGGGACTTCAGAGCTCGAACGAACCCGGCACGGCATGGCTGTTGCACGCATGCTTCGCTTCCCGCCTTTCTCGGTCTCCCGTTCACCGACCCTCCAAGCTGCCAGAACAAGCAGATCTCCAAGGAGGCGCTCTTGGCGCATTCCAAGCGCTTTCAGAAAGCCATGGAAAAGAACAACGTTGGAATCAAATTGACCAAGTTGCCCGAAGTCAAGGAGAAGGCGCTCGGGCGCGGGATGGTTGTGGCCGAAGAAGCGCCGCCGTGTGGCACTTTCGTGTGGTGTTACGCTTTTCTTGGTTTTGTTCCTGCTTCCCTGCTGGTGTGTTGGAATTCAGCATGCCGGAATGAGTTTGAAGTTTGCAGTCACAGTTGGCATTGGTTGAAACATTAGATCAAGTTATTGATGATTGAGTGCGGTGTTGTGAAAGTTGCCACAATTGGAACTGCATGGTCGCGGGAGTGCTTTGCTTCGACATCCTCGGATGACTTGGCGCTTGGCACTCAAAAGATCTCAAAAGGGATTTTGGCACGAGTAAGAGTCGACTCAGAGTTCGTTTCTGCCAGGGCCATGTTGGCCTTGATGATTGCATTGAGATCGTCACTCACACACCGTGGGGTCCCGAGACATCGAGTGCACAGTCTGCCTGCTTGTACGAAGGGAACCGGTTCTGGAGTGGTGAAATCCACGACACGGCCGCGTCGTATGACGCGAGGCAGCAGTTGGACACGAAGATGGAACGTCTCAGGGAACGGCTCAAGACGATGAGTCAACAGGTGCGAGCAGTCCGATGGTTGTCGGCAGACCTCGGGAGGTGGCCACTGTTTAGGTTCAAAAGCAGGAGCTTGTCGCAGAGGTTTTTGATAGTGTTTTGTATGCTTTTTGGTCATTTCCCAGTCATAGCCACAGACCGGTCCATTATATTATATAGCCATATATAGCCATCATTTCCTGAGGGTTCCTTCTAACTTCGAGATGCCCACCACAACAGGACTTGGACCATCACCCTCAGACTACAGGCCGATCCAAGCCCAGAAGGGTCATGAGAGCTGGCAAGCAGGAGCTTGTGCATCGTAGCATGCCTTGGGGTGACGGAGTCAAAGAGTTCCTCAAATGCGTCTCGCCATGCTTCGGCAGGTTTCCCGATTGGATCATCATTCGGCAGCAGAGATGGAGGCCACTGGAAGACATGCAGAGAACGGCCGTTCTCTCAGCAGCGCATGTCCACCCATGTGTTAATCTCGGATGAACTTGAGTTCACTACTGGGGCGGTCCCAAGATTTGGAGATCCTGACTGCATACGCGATGCGCGCGGCAAGCCAGGTGGACTTGTCGCTGCTGACAGGTGCGGCAGTGAGCAACCGTTGTTTATGCCGTGGATTGCATGGTTTTGAACTTGGTGGTTGATCGTCCTTTATAAGCCATCATTGGAAGCCTCTCCTCTTATGGAGGACAGTTTTGATCGGAACCCATGAGTTTGAATCGCTATCGAAGCAAAGGTGAGATGTCTGTCCTATAGATGAGTATATCAACTGTGCACATCTGTGCACAAACAGTGTGTCTACACGAGGGATTCTTACGGTAAGAGTTAAGGACGGGTAGACTTCGCTCTCGTTGTGGTGCCGTGCACATTTTCGGGCTTGGCGCAGGCGCAAGGGAAAACCTTGTGATTTAATGGTCCAAAGCCGACTGTCGTGAGGTGCAGGAGCTCGGAGCGGCTTTATCTCGATGTACAGATTTTGTGGCAGGCGCAGTACTTTGGACGTGAGACATGGTGGTGATCTTCGGTGTGCTCTGCCTTCTTGGCAGGTGCAGTGATGTGTGACTTTGGACATGTGGCTCTTTGCCAGAAATCGGAGGAAGTCTGAAGCGAAAGCGTTTTGGCAACTTGACGTCTCGTCAAATGCTCTTGCTGCGAACCGCCTTGGCAGGGCTGCGCGATGTGAGTCTTGATGTGCAGATTTCGTGGCGGGGGCAGTACTTCGTGTAAGGCGCAGATACCGTGGCAGGCCCAGTGCTTTGTGGACCTTGTGGGCGGGGCAGCAAGTGTGCTCTCATATGTGTTTTCAGACATCTCTCACCATCACCTCTCTCTGGAGCCCATCCCGATGCGTTTAGATATCTAGACCTTCTGTTTCTACATCTCTAGACTCTAGACCTTAGACCTTTAGACAGACTGTTTGGGGTCTCTTGCCGGGATATCAATTGGCCTCATGTCCAGCTCTGCAGGTCAGGGTCCGGCCTATGCGAGTGTCTTCGTACAGGATGAGGATGCTCAGGTGGTTGGGGCCTGGGAGAGACGATAAAGCCAGCTGCGTGGAAAGCCGATGTCTTTGACCAGCTGTAGGCGTTTCGAAGAGTATGCCATGTGAGAGTCTCTCAAATTTGAGACAGGTTTGCACTGAAGACAACCAGCTCCTTCGGCCGTCAACGATCGTCAGAATCTTGACCTTGGGGCCTTGGGGAATCAATTTTGACGATCTTTCTTTGCTGAAACTGCTTCTTTCCTAGCATGCGCGAGCATCCTGACTGCTCGATGAACTCTTTTGGAAGATCTCATCAAAAGATTCCTTTTTTTGGAGACAACCTGGAGACTGACAGGTGGATGTTGTCAGGGGACAACATACAGAATCCCTTGGTAGATTGGTACGTAGGTGTTTGGGTGCTTCTATTGATTGAAGTGAACGTGCCTTTGCCACCAAGATTTTTGATCACTTTTGCCAGGTCAAGACCGGAAACCTCAAATCCCATCGGAAAGACCGCTCCAATCCTTGCTGGCAATTGTACCGATATGATGCTGGGCCTTCATCCACTGGAAAACAGGAAGTTTCCATCGAACCACCCAGTCAAGACCTTGTTCACCTGACTGTCTTCAAACTGCCAGGATGAAGAGATGGAAATTCGACGAATGCATGAATTGGTTGAGCAGACCACCCAGGTGCTACAGCAGGCGGATGGGAGGATGGATGGGAGAGATGTATGGAATGGATGGACACAAGAGGTCCAGAGGTTACAGGTTACAACACTATACACTTACAAGTTGTTAAGGCAAAGGATTTTCCATGAATTGCTCTTGTTTGTGGCAGTCCCTGCCTGCTGACTTGTTAGCATGGCTAGTGAAACAAACGGCAGACATTCAGGGGAAGCATACACAACACAATTGAAGCCACCGGAGGTAGACAGAGTTTCTCTCACCTATTTTGCACAGTTTTTGCAGGGAAGCTGCGAAAGCATCTAAAGCTGCAATCTTCAAGATTGACGGCAGATTCCAGGGATCGTCCCAACCAATCAGGGCGAAACTCCATGTCAGATCTCTTTTTCTAGGAAGCTACTAGGGGCTCCTGACCTTACTACTAGGAGCAAGGACGCTACTAGGGGCTCCTGGCATCGCTACTAGGAGCAAGGACGCTACTAGGGGCTCCTGGCATCGCTACTAGGAGCAAGGA